AGACCAGGTTAGCCAAAGCTAACCAGCCTGACCTCGAGGTGGGGCATCCATGGCTTCTCTGGGCTGCCTATTCCATTGCCTCAGCAATCTCGTTGATGGAAATCTTCTGTTGCACAGAATTCTAGTCTGCAACGGGCAATACCAAGAAATAGAAGCCTGATATGTACACCACCTCCACTCTTCAAACAACTGTGGTCTTTGAATAATGTCTCAAACCATTCCTAATACATGACAGAGCCAACTGCCCTCATGTGGAGTATAACAAAAAATTTAGAACAAAATAAAAATCAATGTGAATGAGAGGCCATTTCGCCTGCTGTGTGCAAGTCCTAAATGCCAAAATATCTCTTGGGCTTCCATGTAAAAAAATCCAGAATTGTCTAAGTTCTTTTTAAAGCTCTTTGTATTAATCTGTGCAATGTGCTGTATCATAACACAACATATACTGGTATGTACGTATGTACATCACATGTGTACCGCTGTGACAGAAACTGTCAAGTTCAGCAGAAGCAGAGGTATACCGCAGGGAGCAGTGAAGAGCTGGAGAAGCCATGCTCTATCTGAGTACAGTCAAAATTCTTAGAATTGCAGTGTAAATTGCATAATCCAATGCTCTAGCTTGCCACAGACACACGCTCATATTTCTACCATTGCAGCATTGCTTTTGAATTGACATTCCTTCTGTCTGGGTTTGTATAATCAATCTGGCAACGATTACTGACTTCCCAATTAGGCAGTCGGTGTTTTTGCCAAGCTCTAAACCAAGGCATCAAAATGAAGCATGCCTTCAGTGTGCCCTGGAGTACCAGCTGGTCTGCCAATGGTGTCAGCTGAGCACTCTACCGAAGTACCCAAAACGTGCCATGATGTGATATCATCTGTGTGCCTGTGCCATACCAAATTACACTGATAGAGAATCCAGCTATGTATGTATCTGATACATAGATACATGTACAGATGATATGATTACTGCGTCAGTTGGTCAGATGAAGAAACAGGAGGACAGGGAAAGCATGCTAATAAAATGTAGGTTTTAGCTACATATGAATAAGAGCCAGGTGGGATACGTAGACTGTAAGAGTCTAATAAAAATCACACATTCTTATACTGCCTGGCCATAAGAACTTGGCACTTTCTTGCTTATACCGGGAGAGTTTGGTAAAAGAAGGGACCCAAACAAAGATGCCTAAATAGGATGGTGTTTACACCATCAACAGGCTTTTTTTTGCTACTCTGAAAAGCAACTACCCACGCTAATGACCACTTTAGAATGCCTACTGACTCAGGTTTGCAATAATTTCCTTATTTTTTCACAAGACAGCAAAAAAAAATTCAACATGCTATTCTGAGTATGCATAACTACACTCTAAAGCATATGGTTTGTTCTTGTTCTTACTGTCTTACCAGACACTAGTCTCTTCTTTGTGCATCAGAGTATTTTACTCATACGTAGGGAAATTGAGAAACCGACCACGGGAAGGACAGATTGCAAGGTGTACACAAAAAGCAACAGGTATCAGAACGAGAATTGAGTATAATGTCTAGAAAGGACCTGATGGTCATTGCTCCACATAAAGTAGTCCTTCAAGGACAAACACAGCATGAGGGGAAATCAAGCTGACAAGAAATTGCCACATCTCCACTATTTATCTGCGTTCGCCATTGCTACAGCACATAGGTAATGCTCAGATAAAAGTACAAAATATAGTATGGTCTGGAGAATCTTCTTATTTTCTACAACTGAGTCAACTGAAACAGGAGGGTAAACTAGCTGGCCCTTACAATATATGGGAACCGTAAAGAACACAAAGAACAGCCTGAACAAAATGTTCAAGCCTTAACAACTGAAACTTAAAAAACCACACTGCAATAATCCACCACACATTGTAGCTTCACCATGAAGTAACCTTCACAACTGGAAGTCAAGGCTAATGGTGAACTGCTTTAGTAAAACTTACAGATACTTTTTACCCTTCAAGCACTTGATCTCTCAGCAAATTTAAAATAGCAGTGCTTAGGAAGCATGAATGTCTTTCTACTCCCATTTAATTCCTAAAGGGACAAGGGCAGGTAGTTGTATGTTATCTTAATACATTTTATAATGCTTGAGCCCCTAAAATATCTGTATACAGCAGCTGAGAACTGAATTCCCTCTGACCTACATCACTCTGGATGTAGACTATAACCTGAAAAGAAGGAAACATGCATTAAGTCTGAAAAAAAAATTTTTGACTGGTAAATGAAAAAAACGTATTTGATATTGTATGGTAACTGTTGAGTCATGGCCTGAAGCACTGACTGAGCAGCTGGGGAAAGGACCTGATCAGCCCTGGGAGCACAGGTGAAAGCAGCTCAGCTGTGGGACCAGAAGGGATGGAGCCTGGCTGCAGCTCTTAGACCTCATTGAAGGCTGACTAGTACTGCGGAAGTATCTTCGGTTGGAGGTCCCTTCTTTGTGAAGTTTTTCTCTGTGAGCTTAGATCTTCAGAGACAGGTGAGCGGTCCTTTCTTCCTTCCCTTATAACATCTATTACACTAGCGCCTTTGTTGTTACACCTCCTGTATCACCATTCCATCCTACTGATCTTTCTGATTGTTACAGGCACCAACTACTTTGTAAAAGTTAGGTGGCTCAGTATGAAACATCAAGCAGAAAAATACTTATCTGCTCAAACAAAGCGTCACAATGCACTTGGAGATTTAATTCCTGTTACCTTGTTCCCTGTTGCTGTTCATTGTAATTCTACAATGCACCATGAGTTGCAACGTCTCTCTTTTTCATCTTGAAAGACATCTTGGAAATGGACAAATGTATGCTTGTGAAGGTATATGGTTATTAGTATGCGACAGACTATGTTTTATAGTTAGCCAAGTGGAGAATGGTAAGGACTGGATCAGCTTGCCACGCTACATTTGGAGATGTTGTAACTAGGTTTGATTCAGTAACAGAGAAAGGTAATGCATTTAGAGGCTTTCCTCTGGGTTGTGCTGTACCAAGTTACCAAGAGGTCAGATAGGAATGGTACTAATAGAAACTAATGTCATTAGATGAGATATGGAAAATCTTACTCATAAGTAGGCAGGCTGAAAGTGTGGACATGTTGCTAACTGTTACTAAGAGTGTTAGCAGGGTAAGTATGGTCACCTCCATGACTGAAACATGGTAAAAGGGATTATTACAGAGTGAAGAAGCCATCCATTATTTAGCAGGCAGGTAGGTATTACTGCAGAAAGGAGTCACCATTTGCAATGGTTCTTCAAACAACTGGGTCTGCATGACATGGATTCACCAAGGTAAGGCTGATTACAGGCATAGAATACATATGGGAAAATCACCTCCCTCATCCAGCCAGGAAGGAGGACTGTCAAGGTGTAAAGAACTTATTCCCTTTCTTGAAATCATGCACAGAATTATCTTCAAGATACTGAAAGTACTGTACTGGGGCTCCCAGTACAGGAAGGATGTGGAGCTCTCGGAGTGGGTCTGTAGCAGGGCCACTAAGATGATGAGAGGGCTGGAGCACCTCTCCTATGAAGAAAGGTTGAGAGAACTGGGCTTGTTTAGAGAAGACTCCAGGGAGGCCTCATTGTGACCTTCCAGTACTTGAAGGAAGTGCATAAATAAGAGGGGGAATGGATGCTTACAAAGGTGGATAGTGATAGGACAAGGGGGAACGGTTTTAAATTGAGACAGGAAGGTTTAGGTTAGCTATTAGGAGGAAGTCTTTCCCCCAGAGGGTGGTGAGGCACTGGCACAGGTTGCCCAAGGAGGCTGTGGATGCCCCATCCCTGCAGGCATTCAAGACCAGGCTGGATGTGGCTCTGGGCAGCCTGGGCTGCTGGTTGGCGACCCTGCACACAGCAGGGGGTTGGAGCTCGATGAGCATTGTGGTCCTTTTCAACCCAGCTCATTCTATGTTTCTACAAGGTCTTTGCTGGGGATATAATAGCTCTTAGCAATCAGCAGGACACTGATAAAGCATAGACATGCGTGGTAAGCGTCAGGCCCTCTTGCTTATTTGACAATGCACATTAGGGCAGAGGAAGGAATGCTGAGTAGTTGCACGTCTTTGGGCCTTCTTTAAAACATCGAAGGTGGCAAAAAGGAAAATGAATTTACTTGGTGGGAACCAGTCAAAGAATAGAGGGCAGGATGCAGGCAGTTTATCCACCTCTGCCTCTAAGTTCTGGATCAAAGCTGGCCTGGTTACTCACCGGGACACGGTCAGGGTATTTGGCGCGGATCTTTGCCGACTCCACGCATCTGTGCTCTGTGAACAAAACTCGCAGTTAGTCACTGCACAGTAACAGGGCAGTCAGAGTCCTACACAGAGCGAGCAGCACCACAGGCACAGCAGCCAGCGGGCACCGTCGTGCCTTCCGTGACGCGGCCCTAGCCAACGAGCTCGTTCTCCACCGCCGCGCCGCCCTTCGTCGAGAACCGCGGGACCGTCCGCCCAGCACCACCGCGCCGGCGCGGGGAGCCCGCCGCGGCACGCACGACTGCGAGGCCCGGTGCGGACGGCGACGCAGAAGACAGGAGGCCGCCGGCGGGGAGCGCCAGGCCCGCCCTTACCCAGCGCATGGTCCTCTTTGAACATCCACTTCATGGCGCGAGCTGGGCGGGAAGCGGAGCCAGCGGCGAGGCCCTGGTGCGGGCAAGAAGGGAGCCGAGCCAGGCGGCGGAGCCTGCGGCTGTCACGGACCCTGTCACAACAAAATCAGCCCCGGCTCGGCAGGCGGGACTTCCGGCTCGGCGGTTCCTTAGCAACCACTGGAACGCGGCGCTTCCGGCTCGCGGGCGGAGGGGCGGGGCTGCGGCGGACGGTAGGGAATCACGCGGAGGAAACGAGGCTGCGCAGCGATCCGTTCGGCGGTGCCGCTGCGATGCTGGCGTTCACGCTGTGGGTCCCGACGCCGTAGCAACTGCCCTCACTACCTTCCTGCTGCCGTCTCTGGGCGCTCCCCGCTTCGCCTCAGCCGTCCTTCCCGGAACGTGCGAACCAATGTTCACCGGCTGACGCGCCCGTTCCGGCGCGTGGGGAAGCCTGGCTTCGGCCACTCAGTACTTGCCGCTGCCGTGGGCGCGGGATGGCAGGCGTGGAGCTGTTCTCGCACCCCGCGCTTCACACGCGCTACCGAGCTGGGCTCTGCTCCACCGCCGTGCTGGCGCTGCTGCTCATCGCCGTGCTCACCTACGTGCCGCCGTTGCTGGTGGCCTACAGGAGCCACGGTGAGCAACTCCCAGCCCCGCGGAGCCCTGCCCGGGGCCACGCTGAGACTTCGCGCCGTCTCTGCCCGCAGGTTTCTGGCTGAAGCAGAATGCGTACCGAGAGCAGCCGACGGTTCGGTTCCGGTACGAGGTGCTTTTCGTGGCCACCACCGGGCCTGGCCCGGGTAGCTTCCTGGCGTGGAGCACGTTCCCAGCTTTCAACCGTCTCCAGGAGGACCGACTGCGCGTCCCGCTCCTGTCGGTAGGCGGCCCGGTGATGGGCAGGGAGTCGGGGGGCTCCGTCCTCAGTCTCGCGCTATTGCGGCTTCGTTGGCCTCGGACAGGCAGCTTTCATGTTTGGCTTGCAGACGGACATTGCATATTTTCCCAAAGCTAGTTGCTGGCTTTTCTTTCCTGTTTTTTTTTCTTAATTTTTCTTCCTTCCCCCTCCCACCCCCCCTTCTGTAAGGATTATACTCTGAGGCTTGTGGGGGTTTGCAGGTAGCCCCCTGCTTTTGAATGCAGAAACATGCTTTTAAAGCATATAGTCTCTCCCCTGCAGCCATTGTTCCTTCTGGGATTCAGGAGTGGTAGCTATTTATCTGTGAAAGCTCTGTTATGTTTCCTCATGGTTGTGAATTGCTGAGGTACTGGGCAAGAGTGGCACAGAAGCACCGCGAGCCTTGGCTTGCTACCAGGAACTATACGTGGTGTAAAGAAGCTACTAAGTGAGCTGCCATGGCTGGAGGCCATTAAGCATTCACATGGATGTAGCAGAAGATCCAGCATTAAGATATGGATTGCAGCATGCAGGGAAGATGTTTGGAATGGCATAAGACAAAAGAGCTCTTGGAGAGTCATTTCTCTTCCTGTGGAGTGCATGGAGCATTGTGTAACAGAATTAAGGCTGCTTCTCTCTAATCTCATGTCTTTAAAATCAAGCAGCTTTTTATTATATTTCTAATTATGCTGTTTATTTGCTTTCTTTGTATGTACACGTTGCAGTTATGGAAATCTGTAGTTTAACTTTTCTTTGTATTTCTTAACAGGAAAACTCCTCTATTAAAATAAATAAAAGTCTGGTTGCTCCTTTTAGACTAGAGAAGAAGACAAAAATCAAGATGGCAAAATGGATCAGTTGCATTTTAAATTGGAGCTTCCGCTACGACCTACAGAGCATGTAGTTGGTGTTCAGCTAATTTTGATCTTTTCCTACCACCTTTATGTGAGCATTTTTTTTATTTGTTGTGACACATAAACCCAATGTAGTATTTCAGTACTAGTTATGCAAAGAATCTTTGCACATTTGAAATTTCTGAGAGATTTTAGTAACATATCTGATTTTTTTTTTTTTCTGCCGCTATCAGGTCATTCCTGGTTTCTCTGCATGGGGATTGGTTGGCTTTTTTTTTTTTCTTTTTTTTTTCCCCAGGGAGTAGGGCTGATTTGCTTCTGTGTATTCTTTTGATCTCTAGTGTAGCATATAGAACAGAGATGTACAACAATAGATGTTGGAGTTGATGGCATCAGAAAATATTTGAGAGTCTTGCAGTACGCAGAAGTTTGTGTGCTCATAAATACTGCTGTGTCTTGACAAGCAGTTTTCTGAAGTGGAGGGTCAGGTGGCAGTTTAATACATAAAGGGAATGGATGAGACACTAGTGCAGAGAGAATTCTTGGGAAGTATGTGGAAGTAGCAATAGTACAAAGCAGTAAAATGTATTATAGAGTTCAATGAAGAGATAGGCAAGGATATTTTACTAGTAAGATTAGGTTTAGTTTATCGAACAAACTTGCTGAATGCAGATGGAAAAACTTAGCAAGAGCTGCTGTGCTGTGTTTACTCTGAATCACAGAGTAGAAGCCTTGCAGTCCTGAGTTTATGTGCTGAAGTATTAAGCCAGCAATCAATAGCATGTGAAAAGCTCCAATACTAACAGTGCTTCATTTTACGGTAAATATGCAAGTTTTCCTTCAGATTGAGTGGTTGACCAGTGCAGAGAAACAACTTTGTTTGGCCTGTAACAAAGTCTGGGAGTCCTTATCTTGCCTTGGTAACTGAGTATTTCAAAGCTTTTCTCCAGTAAAAGTGTTTAATAATCTTGCTACCTTAAGCATGTTATGGCAAGCCACTGTTTTGTTTTCTGTCATCAGTGTCAAACTGTTGGACTTCACTGAATCATCTGTGGAACTTCAGTTAACAAGATTAGTTAATTAATTAGCAAAGATAGTTCATTTATAAAAGATTATGCATGTTTATTGTTAGACACTCTCTTCTTTAGAATAATGTGATAATTTGAAACATTCATGTCAGCGAAATCCTATCTATGAAGAAATTCTATAGATACAAATTGGTAGAAAACTGTGGGCGATTTCGTTTTTCCTAAATTTTCTGCTTGTGTGTTCACTGTTCCAGAGGATGTCGACATTCGTGATGCAAAGCATGGCTTTTCTTCAGTTTTTTTCTCCTGTACCGGGATCTCAGCTCTATGCGAATGGAGACCTGAAACTGAACCAGAGGCAATTACTTAACCATTGTGGGCTAGATACCAGATACAATGTGAGAACTTTTTTTTTCCTCTGTAAATTTCTCCCTTGTTATTCTCCTGTTACCGTAAATGACCCCTTAATTATTTGCACACATACATAGAGTGGACCCTGTAACTTTTTTGAGCTGTTGTTTATTTGTTACGTTAGAGGGTAGAAGATGTTATTCTGCTGAGATATTCAGTCTAATGTTTGTGATTTCCTTACAAGGCACAGTTACTTTGGCTAAGAAACTCAGTAGAATTACTTTCCTGAAGAGTGGACAAATAATGCAAATGTCTCCTTGTGGTGACAGGTGTCTGTGGTCAATGGCACAAGCCCTTTTGCAAGTGACTATGATCTAAAAAACATCATTGCAGCGTATCGAGATAGAAATGGTAAGCCTGAATGTATAGCTGCTAACCGCAGGACAGCAGCAGTTACTACATTAGTAGCTGTTATTTAAGGATTTGAGTTCTCTATTAAAACTGAAAAGACCATTCACTTGGATATTTTCCTTCCCTGTTTTAGTGACGACAGTATTTTCAGATCCTAACCCCATTTGGATGACTGGAAGAGCAGCAAATACGCCATTTATCGTTAATGCCACTATTCATTACCCAGTGGAAGTTATCTTATATCCTTAGAAAACTACATTAGTGGTGAAATAACTGGATAGTATTATTTGAGCCTTCACATACAGGCCAAATGAACACTACTTTCTTTTAGGCTTGTCCCTAAATTTTTCCTTTTTCAATGAAGTGTATGCTGTATACTTGTTTGCCTATCCCTGCATGTGCATACCCTTACTGTTTTTGCTTGCAAAACCCTTTCTGTCTTTTCCTACAGGGAATGTCTGTTGCTGTTCTGCCTTACTAAAATGATATTTTAAGGCAGTTTCTTAGCAGTTCGCTCTGAACGTCCTTACTAAGTTTTGGTCTGGTTCTTCAATCCTGTAATTGTTGTAACTGCTACAGGCAAATCGTGTTACTGCATTTTTATGACCTAAAGCAAATCAGAAACCTGTATGTGGCGTAGGCTCAACAAATGATAGCCCTGCAGTGAATGAGGCAAATTTGTTGCATGTGCCAACAAAACAAAAAAGCCTTTTTTGCTCCAAAGTAATTAATTATCCTTATGTTCTTTGCTTAGTTTCTCAGACAAGAATAGGCCTGTAATTAGAAAAAAACTTAGAGCACATCCCTCACAACTTTTCTTTACCTGAATTAAGAATTACCAATACCTACTTGCTGGTGAAGTAGAGGCAACATAGGCACTTTCCACAGAGTTGTTCTGGATGTCTTCTATGATAGGCATTCTAGCTTTTCTGTGGTCAGAGGCTTTTTGAGGTTTCTGTGACTAAAGGCTTTGTACTTGTTGCCAAATTGATGTGCCTTTCCACCTCTGAATTCTTTTGTTTAGTTATTGCAGTGAGTGTATCAGAAGTGTCTTCTTTAACGCTCCTTGACTTCATGTAAATATCAGCCAGGATTTTGGGAAATGATTAAATTTGCCTGGATCCAGTATGTCAGCATTCTCCTCATCTTTCTTTGGGTGTTTGGTAGGATTAAAATGTTTGTGTTCCAGAATCAGGTGTTTGCTACGACTCCAGTTTCGCCAATTCTGCCATTGTCTCCGGTATTGTCCTACAAACAGCATCAGTCCTGAGGAAATGCCTGAAAACTTAAGAAATGTGGTTTAAAAATAAGTACCTGCTTTTTTTTCCTCTGTACATTTTCCTTTTTCTTTAGAAGATCAGAACCTTGTAAGTATATTCTGAGTATGTTCTGTTCTTACTACATCTTGTGAATGCTACGTCTTGTCATGAAAGGATGTCATTTTCTTTTTTTGAAGATGTGCGTGTCTCTGTATTTCTGTAGGAACTTTGGGACTGAAGTGTTTAATTTTGAACAGTTAAAGAAGAACTTGGTTTTTGGTGGGTTTTGGTTGTTTTTTTTTTTTTCTCCAACATGATCGCACTTCAAAAAACAAAACAACAACAAAAACCAAACCCCAAACCAGAATTCAGTGAGCTGCTTTTGAATGACCTAAATTTTGTTAAACCACAAAGACTGAAAATAATATGACAACCATCATAATATGAGCTACTTGTACTGTGTTTTTAATCAATTCGTTATTGCGTTAGGATTCAGCTAAGGGCTACTTATATATCCACTTGTGTGCTATAAAAGGGAAAAATATATCTATCATCTATGGGGGATGAGACTGTCACTCTTTTTTTTTTTTTTTTCCCCACGTTTCTGTAACCGTGGTTATAAGTGTCCACTGACTTTGTTATTAAATTTGTTGATGGAAAAATTAAGGCAGATTTGAGAAGCTGGGTTCTAGGTGATGGTATCTGCAAAATTTGTACAGTCATTTACTATTGGCAATATTACTGTAAGCTATTGGGAACATTAAAACACAGAAGCATAGCGTCTCACAAAGAAAACGTTAACAGACTACCAAAGAAACTTCAGAGTTCCAAAGCAAATGAATAATTATTTTCAGAATGTATATGATAATTCAGAATAGAGTAATTCCTGCTGAAAACTGGAAGACTGTTCCTCATTCTTGGAGGCAGGTGGGAAGGATGACTTAAGCCCAGAAAGAGAAAACAGGCAAATTTTTTTGTTTGTTTTCCTTTGGGGCTTATGTTTCTGAATTTGTTACTATTCAATTCTAGCAAAGCAGTTTTATGGCAGGGGGATTCTAAAACATTTCTGGGTATTATTTAATAAAATTCTCTTGAACCATGGTGTAGCTAATAAAGGTGAAAGAATAATTTGCAGAGAATTGTACAGTTTGTCTTTTGGCTGTTGCCCTCCAGAATCTTGGTAGTTAAAAAAAAAAAATCTGCCCATTCCTTTTCACCTTCTCAGAATAGCCATCTTCCCTTGAGGTTTTGTTTAACTTTCTTTGAAACTTTGCAGTCTGGTTACTTCCATTTCTCTCAGCCTTTATGTGCTAGATGGACTCCGTCCCAGCTTTTTCTTCAACACAAGTGCTAATGCCAACATAGGGAGGGCTGTCTTGGTTATCCAGCGCATTTTGTGTTCTTGAAACTTACACAGTTGTGAACTGTAAATTGTTCTATCTGTACTTGCAGGTAAGTATATTTCATTTGAAGTCTCCCATTTGCTCTTTGAATCTCTGAGCTCTGATAGATTATATCATATTCATAACTTGATAGCTTATGAATACAGAAAATTGACTTTGTATCAGAGTGCCCAGTATCAAAGCAGCTGTTAATTGCTTTTTAGCCTTTCCAGGCACTGAAAAGGATAAACGCTGATTCCTGGGAGCTCATTTGCTCAGTATCTGAAATTGGTATTTATAGCTGGTCTGCCATAGTCCCTGCTCTTCTCCATTACAGTTCTGCTACTGCTTATGTGGCTGCAGGAATTAGCTCTGGGAGCTTGTTATGGCAAAGATTATACCAAATGTACTCACTTTATAAGACTGATCAGTTACTGAATGAGTGTGGTATGTAGGATGCACGTGAGCAAGGACTAGAAATATCTGAAGGGACCCTAGAGCCCCATTTTAGGGGGTTGAGTTTTTTGTTCTCTCGCAGCAATGGAATTCTTAGCACTCAAAAAAGGTGAGCAGGAGTTTGCTTAAGCTAGCATCTGGAAGATGAAAGAGGATAGGGGCTGGGAGAGCTGGGGCTCCTCTGGGGAAAAGAGAAGGCTGCAAGGTGACCTGATAATGGCTTTCCAGTATCTAAAGGGAAACTACAGGAAAGAAAGAGAGGCTAGCAGCATCTGTGGTGACAGATCAAGGGGAAGTGGTTTTAGGCTCAGAGAGTAGATTTAGGTTAGATAAGCCTTCTACAGTAAAGGGTGGTGAGGCACTGGAACAGACTGCCCTGTAATGTGGTTGATGCCCTGTCTCTGGAGACTTCAAAGGTGCGGCTGAATCAGGCTCTGGGCAACCTGGTCTTGCTGTAGTGTTTCTGTTTGTTGCAGGGGTGTTAGACTAGCAGGCCATTAGAGGTCCCTTCCAGCTCTGAGGATTGTATGATGATGACAGGACAACAGGGCTAATGGGAGATCCTTTACTATTCTATCCTGTTATAGTCTTCCTTATTAAGTTGTGATAAGTAAGACTTATGAGAGTAACAGTATATGAGATTAGAAATGATGAATAGGTCTGGTTCAGGAAATAGAGAAAACATTCTTCATGTTTTTCTTCAGGACAGACCTGGGGGGAAAAAAAGTGCAAAACAGAACTTAGGAGAACCATGTAAATAAAAGAAACAGATGGCCTAGCTGTAAGGGAGCTTTAAGAAAAAGTGTTTCTTAGAAGGCTACCTCTAAAGATTCTTCCTTTATCTTGCTTAACAACAGTAAATAGAAACACCGCTGCAAATCGACACCAGTAGTTCTGTGTAGCAGAACTGTGTATATAGTTGCCAGAGAGCAATCTAAGCCCTGCTCAGTGATGAGGCCCCAGAGGCGTGCAAAAATGAGTTGGATGTTAGGAAGTGTCTTAGGAAGTGTTATTAGAAAAGTGAAGTTGTGGGTTAAAATTTTTGCACATGAACCAAAGTGGAAATGTAGACATTTGGGTTCCCAAGTATGTAAGAGAATATATTAGGAGGTTTTTTGTTTTTTTTTTTATTTTTTTATTTTTTTAGGAGGTGATATGTTGGGGGGAGTGAAAGCAAACAAAATGCCTCTAGGTCTGTTTAACCAGCCAAGCAGCCTTTTCGTGGCAGCGACCTTGCGGTTCTCTCCAGGCTGCCTTGTCAGCAGCAGGCGAGGGGCACCGCGCCCGAGGCACAGAGGCCCCGGGTTGGCGGCGTCGCAGCAGAAAGCTGCAGGAGGATCGCAGGGCCCTTCCTTGCCGTTGCGTCTGAGCCGCGGGCTGCGGGGAGGCCTCGGCCCCCCCAGTCGGTACCGCGCGGGGCGGGGCGGGCTGCCGGCCTGCCCCCGCCGGGCTGCTCCTCTGCCGGGGATGCTCCGGAGTCGGGGTGGATCGGCCCCTTCCCGGGCTCCTCCCGCTGCCGCGGCACCTCGGCCACGTCTGAAAGCGGCTCATTGTCTCCGCAGGGAGCTCAAATCCGCGGCGGTGCCGGGAGGCGGCGGGCAGGTACGTCCAAGCGGACGGGGGTCCGCGCCGCAGTCGGCGAGCTGCGCGTGCTTCCGCCTCCGTAGGACGGGGCTCTTTGTCGCTATCCGGCGGCACCTCCTTCCTGAGCGACCCGGGTGGTGGGTTTTTAAGGCGGCTCGTGCTGTGAATTAGCAGTGCTGGGCCCGGCCCTGTTCCCGCCTCGGGCGCGGTGCTGCTGCCGAGCGGTACCGGCGGTGCTGTGACCGTGGTGGTTTGTCGGATTATTTATTTTTCTTAATCTGGAGAACGTGGCTGATTGAGCTGAGGGGATTAAACGGTGAAGTCAGGTGCTGTGGAGCGCGTTTTCTGTCGTTCTAGCAGATCCCTTCCCATTTTTCTAACGTGTCAAGCCTCTGTTTCTAGGTGAAAATAACATAGAGCCAAATAGTTTGTCGTTCCTTCTTAGATTTAGTGGTACTTTCACGGGGCACTGCGCAGCGCAGCTTAGCTTGCACGTCCTCAGGCTGACTTTTAGGATGCTATTGTTAACAGCGTCTGCAAAGTCTGAACGAGGTGAAATGCACTTGGTCACCACAAGTGTCTCCGTGATCCCAGTTCTGTCATCCTTGAAAACAGTTAATATTCTCAACAAGGATTTCAAGAAATGACGTCTGCTCAGCTGCAGCTTTGGTTGAGAACGACTATTTCTGAGTAAAATACTAGTGGCAGAAGACACTATATTATCTTCTGCAACACTGCATGGGGAAATAGATTTTGTAGGTCTTGACGTAGTCTTTTGTTCATCAAACTATCTAATTTCAAACTGTTTTGGCTGAAAAACAAACAAAAACAAAAAAAAAATTAAACCTCAATACCTTTTTAAAAATCGTTATTATTAATATAATGTTATGGTCATACCATGAAAACCATGGTATGTTTCATTATACTATGGAGTATTTAAACTTAAACTTCATCATTACCTGGAAGGAACTCCTGCAGTCTGATTTTCTACTAGACTGTAAAAGAAATGATGTCAGATTTCAAAATGTCTGATTATAGTACATTTATTGTGCTTTACTGTTTCTGCTGTTCTACTTTCACTGTTACGTTAAAATAATTAAGCAGGCAACCCTTTCAACTATTTAGCGAAACTATTGGAAAGGTACCAGTGGTTATAGAAGACATCCTCTAAGCTAATCCACACTCCACCCCCCCACCCCCTCCAGCCAATCCTCGTATTGTTGGCAATGCAATAAGCTTTTGCCCTGTGAAGATGCACCATTTCTAGTTTGGGAAGACCACTGGAAAGTGACATTGTGTCAGTAGCGTGATTTATGGCAAGAATTACTGCAATATTGTGTCCTTTTCTTGGATCTGCTTTGTAATGTTCCTGTGTTTTTCACTGTTTCGAGTGGAAAATTTGTTTCTAATGTCAGCTGATGGAAGCCATTCTGGTGGTGTGTTTCTTATACACAGTGATGCGATGTCTTACATCTGAAGTACATAGTGAGTAAACCTGCATAAAATACAGGCTCTCTGGTGAACTTTGCTGTGCTTATCAAACCATGCACAAGCATTTTCCTATTAATTCTATAAAATGCATGTTGGCATTTACTAGTACGATCTTTTCTGCAGTCAGTACTGAAGTATGCCTTGGTGAATTGTGAGGACATAAATTATACTTATATTAAACTCTAATGATTGGTCTGTAAGTCAGCACTTAAAGTATGATGAGCATATAGGATGAAATAATTTTCAGCTAACAAAAGCCTAAGTGTATAATAAAGTGAGTATTCATTTCTCAGTGGATGAAATCCATTCTGAAAGTCTTTTAATGGTATGTTTTTGCATTTTGTGGAAGCTAAAGTAATGTATTTGTAATGCATAAAGACTTCAGCTTAAAAATACTTCATAAATATAAACTATTTTAAAAGAAAGTATGCTGAAAATTTTCTTAGACATAATATGACTGGATAAGACTTCGGCAAAAACAGTTGAGATTCAGTTGCTCAGAACTGCTTTTGGAGAAGAAGGTACTTGTAATTTTTCATTCAGTTATTTCCAGTTCTTTGATTTATTCTAGCCCAATTTTTCAGTCTTTCTGCAACAGATTCAGACCTGTTTGTTCTGACAGTCTTCCAAGCCAGTCTTTTGCCTCAAGCTTAGTGCACTGCTCTTTCTGTCTTTATAGTAATTTTAGTAAAATATAACAGTAGGATCTGTTTTGTTTGTTTTTTTTTAATCTAAAATTAATTTTTATTAATATATTAAGTCTCTTAGGGTTAAATTCTGTAGTGAAAGGAAGTTCACTCAGTAATTATCCTGCTCTCAGACTTCCATAGATTCATTTTCTTGATTACAACATAACTTGTCTTATGCTACAAATAAATACATGTCCCTAAAAGCGCAGGCTGAACAAACCTCCTTGGCTCAAATTATTTTATCCCTACTCCATTTTTATATTGTGTTACATCTGAAAAGTGCCCTGTTTAGATAGCAAGCTTATTGAGATGAGTACTGCTGATTTATTTATGTATTTATTACCCTTCTGATTAAAACTGGGTGGCTTTCTGCACTGGGTCTGGTCTTTCGGTGAATGATGGCAGATGCTACTGGCTCTGCAGCTCAGAATTCTATCAGAGCTGGCTTAAATGATGAGGAAAATCATCTCTTTGCTATCTAATTTGTATAATTAGTTTAGTTTGCAAAATACATAGAAATAGGCATTCTAGAGCATACTGTGGGTTTACCTAGTCCAGGATCCTGCTTCTAGTAGTAGCCATTAACAGACAAACCTGATGAGTGATCTTAACTCTAGACTGTGACCTGACTGCAGCTGTGCGTGCAGATGCTTTTCAGACCATGTTCTGAGCAGTTGCATCAGTTCGTGAAAAGATAATTCTGTACTGGGAATTTGTTAGAATTAGAATTTTGATTATTCTATTTTCCAGAGCTTTCTCCAAGGAAGTACTGTAGTAAAAAAGTCATAGTTTCCCCAAAATCTGAGAACATTGTAACTATTATTAAAATAATTAATGCTTAGCAGCATCCATGTGTATGAAAGCATATATCGTGGTACCAAATATTGTGATACCTCAAGTTTTTCGGAGATGTAAAAGGTGATTTGGCCAATGAGATGGCAGCTGAAGGGTCAGTAACGGTAGGAAATCTGGCTGCTCTGGTGCCTTTTCTGTTTCCACCCTTTGTTTGTTTGTTTATTTATTTATTGCATTCAAGAAGCCTGCTCTAGTAAGGCTGGTGCAACCCCAGGGAAGTGCGGCTGTGAAGCAAAGAAGGGAGAAAAGAAGCAGGAACAAGCTCCTTTGCTCTCCCAAGGGGAGTGTGGGTTTGGCAGGTTGCAGTGCTGAGCTGCAGGTAGAGGAAGAGAGGGCAGGCAAATAGAGAGGCAGCACAGAACAAGGCACAGGCCAGTTTTTCACCTGTTAGCTGACCATGTTTAAGCATGTTGTCCTTCCGTTTTTAAAGGAAGAGCTTGCCTAGTAGCACCCTCTGGTGAGTCCTGCAGGGAAATAAACAGGATCAGAAGGAGCACCCTGTAGTACAAGCTCCTGTCCCTTGTGATTAAGGTTATGATATCATGTAATCTACTTAGTAGGTTTATAAATATTCAGAGTTTTATGGGAGGGTGATCCTTCAAGGTATTCAGCAGCTTTTTGCATTTGTGAGAAGTTGTGAAAGATCTTAGTATGTTATCAAGGTGTACGTTGGAGCAGTGTAAGCTTAATACAGGGTTAAAGAACTGTAAAACTGGAGGACGCTATTGCAAATATAAAAGAATATTTATATGTAAATAGAATTGTGCATGCTTAGTTTGAGAAATTTAGAAATAAAAGACAGTGTTATTGAGAAATTCTTGAACGGAATGCGTGTGTGATCTCATGCACTGAAACACCCCAGGCAACATTGTCATAGATGCTGCATTTTGTTGTGTAATTATTCATTTATTTTTGCAGTCCGCATGTGTGTACATTGCTCAGAAACTTCCCAACTTTCACAAAAGGATAGAAGACTAATCTTAAACACTGAAAATGTGTATTTATTCAGTGCTTTACTTATATATCAGGCTTCCATGTTGTTGCGTTTAGTAGCAAAATTGTGTTCATTTAAAATAGTGTTTATATCCTGATGAGATATTTTATGATGTCATCACTAGCTGGATAGATGTGGGGAGAGCAGTGGGTGTTGTGTGCCTTGACTTTAGCAAAGCATTTGACACGTCTCCTGCCACATCCTTGTTATGAAACTTAGTGTGGGATAGGTGAGTGGACAGAGAGGTGGATTGACAACTGGCTGACTGGCAGAGTCAGAGGGTTGTCATCAGTGGTGCCGAGTCTGGTCAGAGGCCTGTAAGTAGTGGTGTTTTCAGGGGTTGGTGCTGGGTCCCATCTAGTTCAACATCTTCATCAATGACCTGGATGAAAGGATAGAGTCCATCCTCAGCAAGTTTGCTGATGATACAGTGCTGAGAGGAAGGTTTTGTTATCATTCGTTGAGACCTGGACAGACTTGAGAGTTGGGCAGGGAGGAACCTGATGAGGTTCAACAAGAGCAAGTGTAGAATCTTGCACCACGTAACTGCACGCACTGCTACAGGTTAGGCGATGACCTGATGGAGAAGGACCTGAGGGTCTTGGTGGGCAACAGGTTGGCCACAAGCCAGCAGTGTGCCCTTGTGGCCAAGAAGGCCAATGTTATCCTGGGGCGTATTAAAAAGAGTGTGGCCAGCAGGTCGAGGGAGGTGATCCTCCTCCTCTACTCTGCCCTGATGAGGCCACATTTAGATTACTGTGTCCAGTTCTGGGTGCCCCAGGTCAAAAAAACTGGGATGTCTTAGATGGAGTCCAGCAGAGGGCCATAAAGGTGATAAAGGGCCTGCAGCATCTCCTATATGAGGAAGGACTGAGTAACCTGAGTTTGTTCAGCGTGTGGAAAAGAAGATGCAGAGGGGACCTGATAAACATTTATAAATCTCTAAAGGGAGTTGGAAGGCAAATGGATGAGGCTGAGCTCTTCTCAATGGTGCATTGCTATAGGACAAGGAGTAACAGTCTAAAAAAGTTCTGTACTAATTTGCAAAAGAAATTCTTTACAGAAACGATGACGGAGCACTGGAACAGGTTGCCCAGAGAGGCTCTGGAGTCTACTTCTAGGTAGATATTCAAGATCCATCTGGTCACCTACCTATGCAATTCATTGTATGCAACCTGCTTTAGCAGGGGGTTGGGCTAAACGATCTCTTGAGGTCCCTTTCACCCCCTGTGATTGTTGTCATACTGTAAAGAGCTGATAACTGCCTATTTCTACCATTTCATTCACTTAACCTTTCTTTTCAGCTTTCTCTACTAGCACAAAAAAACATTTATTATGTCAAATAGGTTTATATTTGTATTTACTAATCTACATGATTTGCTTTCAACAGAGTCCAGAGAGGGTTAATGTAGGTACCTATTGCTGCAATAAGAAAAAATTAAGTGCAGTTGAATAGTAAATGCTTATATATAAAATGCTCAGTGTGATCTTCACACATAAGGATCTTATTTCCTTTAAATTCAGACTACTAACATACAGTCACAGAATGGTTTGGGTTGGAAGGGACCTTTAATATCATCTAGTTCCAACCCCCTGCTGTAGGCAGGGACACCTCCCTCTGGACCAGGTTGCTCACAGCCCCATCCAGCCTGGCCTTGAGTGCTTCCAGGGAGGCGCATCCTCAACCTGTTCCAGTGTTTCACTACCTTCACAGTCAAAAATTTCTTCCCAGTATCTAGTCTAAATCTACCCTCTTAGAGTTTATAACCATTTCCCCTCATCCTGTCACTACCTGCCTCATAAAAAATCCCTCCCCAGCTTTCCTTTAGGTACTGGAAGTCTGCTGTAAAGTCTCCTCAGAGCCTTCTCTTCCCCGCGCTCTTCTCTTAGCCTGTCCTCATAGGGGAGGTGCTCCAGCCCTCTGATCATCTTTGTGGCCCTCCTCTGGACCTGCTCCATGTCCTTGTGTTGGGGGCTCTGGAACTGGATGCAGTATTCCAGATGGGGTCTTATAAGAGCTGAGTAGAGGGATGGAATCACCTCCCTCAACCTGTTGGTCACACTTTTCTTGATTCAACCTAGGATGTGGTTGGCCTTCTGGGCTGCAAGAGCACACTGCTGGCTCATACTGAATCTTTCATCAACTGACACTCCCAAATCCTTCTCCTCGGAGCTGCTCTCCAGCCATTCTCTGCCCAATCTGTATCCGTGCTTGAAAGTGCTCCAACCCAGATGCAGAACTTTGCACTTGGCCTTGTTGAACTTCATGAGGTTGGCATGCTCCCCCCCTTCTCCCCCCCCCAGCCTGTCAAGGTCCCTCTGGATGACATCCCTTCCCTCTAGCTGCACCACTAAGCTTTGGTGTTGTCTGCATTCTGACTGCTTTCAAGTGAAATCTGCAAAAGTAAGAGCATAAAGGGTTAAGTCCAAAAATCTCTAGTGAAAGGTTGTAAGGAATGCTCAACTCGTAAGTTGGTAGTTCCTTAAATCCCATCTCCATGTAGTCACTCACAGGGCACTGTATCACAGAATCATAGAATTGTAGGGGTTGGAAGGGACCTCTAGAGATCATCGAGACCAACCTCCCTGCCAAAGCAGGTTCCCTAAACCAGGTCGCACAGGTAGGCGTCCAGGTGAGACTTGAACATCTCCAGAGAAGGAGACTCCACCACCCCCCTGGGCAGCCTGTTCCAGTGCTCCATCACCTCACCTAAAGAAGTTCTTGTGCACATTCGTGCGAAACTTCTTATGCTGCATCTTGTGTCTGTCTCCCCTTGTCCTGTCTCCACGTACCACTGAAAAGAGCCTGGCCTCACCACTATGGCCCCCACACCTCAGATATTTATAAACCTGGATCAGGTTCTCTCTCAGTCTTCTTTTCTCAAGGCTGAACAGACCCAGTTCACTCAACCTTTCCTCATAGCAGAGATGCTCCAGGCCCCTCACCATCTTTGTGGCCCTCCGCTGGACTCTTTCCAAGAGATCCCTGTCTTTTTTGTACTGGGGAGCCCAGGACTGGACGCAGTGCTCCAGATGAGGCCTTACCAGGGCAGAGCAGAGGGGGAGGATCACCTCCTCAACCTGCTGGCCACCCTCTTTTTAATGCACCCCAGGATGCCATTGGCCTTTTGGCCACAAGGGCACACTGCTGGCTCATGGCCAACCTGTTGTCCACCAGGACACCCAGGTCCCTCTCTGCAGAGCTCCTCTCCAGCAGCTCATCCCCCATCCTGTACTGGTGCATGCAATTATTCCTCCTAGATTAAGACTTGCTTTTGTTGAACCTCATCCGGTCTTTTTCTGCCCAGCTCTCCAGCCTATCCAGGTCTCGCTGAATGGCAGCACAGCCTTCAGGCGTGTCAGCCAATCCTCCCAACTTCGTATCATCAGCAAACTTACTGAGGGTGGCCACCATCCCCTCATCGAGGTCATTGATGAAGATGTTGAACAAGACTGGACCCAGCACCGACCCCTGAGGAACACCACTGGTTACAGGCCTCCAACCGGACTCTGCACCGCCAATGACGAGCCTCTGCGCTCTGCCAGTCAGCCAGTTCTCAACCCACCTCACCGTCCATTCATCTATCCCACACTTCCTCAGCTTTGTTATAAGGATGTCGTGGGAGACAGTATCAAATGCCTTTCTAAAATCAAGGTAGACTACATCCACTGCTCTTCCCCCATCCACCCAGCATGTGACAACATCATAGAAGGCCACCACACTGGTTGAGCACAACCTCTCTTTGGTGAACCCGTGCTGACTACTCCTGATCACCTCCTTTTCTCCCAGTTGTCTGGAGATGGCATCCAGCACAGCTGTTCCATCACCTTTCCAGGGACAGAGGTGAGGCTGACAGGCCTATAATTACCTGGGTCTTCCTTCTTGTCCTTTTTGAAGGCCAGAGTGACGTTGGCTCTCCTCCAGTCTTCAGAGACCTCACCCATTATCCAAGACCTCTCAAGGATGGTGGAGAGAGGTTTGGCAGTGACCTCCGCCAGCTCCCTCAGCACACTGTAGCCCAAGTGCATGCATCAACTGCTTGTTCCATATAACATTTATGGCCAGAAGCTGCTTCAAATTGCAAGCTTTCACCCTTCTGTAGTTTTGAAAAATGGAGAGTTGTGCTTAACGATCAGCTGGTGCAGCAGCCTACTGTCACCACAGGGTGCAGTGCTCAGTCATTGATAAGGTAGTTTTGATTTCATTAGCCACAGTTGTTAATGTTGCCGCTTACTCCTTTCAAAGGATGGAAACCCTTGTAATTTTAGACAAAGACTGAAATACATTGGAGTGATTAGGATTTTTTTTTTCCATTGGCAGTATTTGCCAGATTCCAAGTAGAGAGCATTCTGTATTTTGAGCAGTTGAGCAGCTTCAAGATTTCTTTCAGCATGAAGCTTTTGCTCCAAATTTATTTCTACTGTGATCTTGCTGTAATGCATTTATTTATTTGTTTCCAACACCTGTCCATCCGCAGATGCTCTTCTCCCTGAATGATGGAACCAAGGAGTGCCAAATACATATGCGTATTTAAAGAAGGGTCTTACTAATGCTAGAGTTTGTACTGTGTGTTATTGTTATTATGCCATAGTATCAACTGCTCACTGTTGTTTTCCCTCTCTTTTTCAGCTTTTTTAATTGCCTAGTGAGAATGGCAAGGATTCGGATTTCTAGCACAATCATTACGCTTCTTGTTATGGTCCAGACTGGATTCCTACTCTTCATGTATGCTCGCTACAATAGCTTCACTCCTCATTCAGAAGAGAAATCGTCTCAAGTCCACATCCTCATCCTCTCCTCCTGGAGGTCGGGATCTTCTTTTGTCGGCCAGCTTTTCAGCCAGCACCCCAGTGTCTTCTACCTGATGGAGCCTGCATGGCATGTATGGGTTACAATGTACCAGAACAGCGCCAAAGTCTTGCACATGGCGGTGCGGGACCTGGTCAGGTCAGTCTTTCTCTGCGATATGTCTGTTTTTGATGCCTATATGCCTTGGAAAAGAAACTTATCTGACCTTTTCCAGTGGGCAGTGAGTCGGGCTCTGTGTTCAGCTCCCGCTTGTGACTCCTTTCAGCGTACTGACATAACCAGTGAAATGGCATGCAAAACTCTTTGTGGACGGTACCCATTCAGCAAGGTGGAAGAAGCCTGTAAAACTTACAGCCATGTTGTCATCAAGGAGGTTCGCTTCTTTGACCTGAAGGTCCTCTACCCACTTCTCACCGATCCATCCCTGAACCTCAAAATAATCCACTTGGTCCGTGACCCAAGGGCAGTTGTAAAGTCACGAGAACAATCAGTCAAAGCATTAGCCCGTGACAATGGAATTGTTCTGAGTACCAATGGCACTAAAGTGGAAGACAGCAAATATAAAGTAATGCAAGAGATTTGTAGAAGTCACGTTCAGATTTATGAAACAGCAACTCTAAAACCACCTAGCTTCCTTAAAGATCGCTATCTAATGATTCGTTTTGAAGATCTGGTGAGAGACCCATTGTCAGAAATTTCAGAAATGTATAAATTTGCAGATCTTAGTTTGACCCCCACACTTAAAAGTTGGGTCTATAACATCACACATGGACAGGGATCAGGAAAAAAAAAAGAAGCCTTCAAAATCACATCTCGAGATGCAGTTAATGTTTCCCAGGCCTGGAGAAATGTTCTTTCATTCCAGAAAATTAAAAAAATACAGGACGTTTGCAAAGGCGCTATAAACATGCTGGGCTATCAGCTAGTGGATTCAGAAAAAGAACAAAGAGATCTGTCACTGGATTTAGTGTTGCCAAGAAGACAAAATCAATTCAGTTGGTCATCGTTCAACCCAAAGAACTAAGCCATTACTTTGAGAGATTAGGGAGGGGAAAAAGGGAGAGTGTATCTATCTGTTTTGCAGTATATAGGTAGTTTGAAAATCCTTGGCTAATGACTTTAATTATCTTCCTGCCTGCTGGTTCACAAAGTAAAGCTTTTTTTTTTTTTCCCCCAAGCTTCTTACACCACAAAACAAATAAACAAAAACAAAAAAAAAAAAAAAAAAAAAAAAAAAAAAATTGTGAAAAATTCAGCAAGATACTTGTGAGATTGTAAATTTGCAACTGTTTGTGCTTTTTTGAGTGTTGTTTTTAAAATATAAATTCTTTCGATAAAAGACATCTTTGTTCATTGATAATAGTTTTGTTCCAGTTTCATACTTAAAATATTCATTGTTTTTGATTCATATAAAGGGATCAAAATACAAACTAATTTGCCTTTTTTTTTTTTTCCCCCTAAGAAATACTTGTCTTTTTTCTTTTGCTTTAAAATTGTTATGCAGTTGTGTATTTTTTTAGGCTTCTTTAAATTTCAACAGCTGGAATAACTGCAGTGGTTCTGTTGTAAAAGGCTCAAGGTTATCTTATTGATAGCTTTCTTAGAGTTTTGCAGTGGCAGATTTTGCAATCAAATAGTTAAACAGAGATGTTGGCAAAGTGCAAAAAGCTTGGGATGCAAAAAACAAGGCGAGAAATCTTTGTTGGAGTTGCTGTGGAAATAGCATGTTAATGCTGTCCCAATTGTGTTTCAGTATTGCAACACAGTAGGCACATGTTTGATTCCTGTGAGAAACACTCGAAGTCAAAAATTTCAGTTGGGCAAGGATCTTAGCGATAGCGATAGTGACAGATTATTCACTATTACAGTAACGGCCGCACGCCACCTATTGGCAACGGAGCGATTGCGCACCGGTCAGCGAAATTCATTCCGTTCGGTGCCCTAATTCGACGCGGGGAAATCTCTCCTGGCGCTCGCTCGTTGGTTGAGCGTCTTAGACTTACAATTTCCCGACGCTGTTGCTATGATACAGTTCTATATAAGGTTTGTTACCAGTCTGTTTCTTTGGTATGTTTTGTACTCTCCCATGGAAATAGGAGGGCAATACAAGTTTCTTAAAGAGCCCAGGCTAAAAGGGCAGGGTGGAGGAACAGAGTTGGGATCAGAGTTTTTTCCTCTCAAATACCAGAGCTGAATCGTACTCCCAAAGGAAAAAGGAGGGAGGAGGACAGCTGTGGAGGTGGAGAGCAGTGGAGCTGGGGAGCAGTTGGCACGAAGCCTCAGGGCGGATGGGCCGCGTCCGTTGGAGGGTCGCTGCACGGGAGGGTCGTGCGGAGCTTAGCTTTGCGACAACGGCGCCGCGACCGAGCTCTAACCGCTGGGATGAGGATCGTGTGGGCTGTAGGCGGGGCGGGAGAAAGACCGCGTACCACTAGCACGACGGCAAAACCGAGGGGATTACCGAGGGTACCCTGAGCCGCGGCCCCGTCTCGGGTACCCCACGACTCCACGGGGTGGCAGCAGCACGGCGGTGGGAGAAGTGCGGTCCGGTCGGGGTCGGGCCGCGATCGGCAGCTCCCGGTGGGAGAGGCGGGCGGGGGTCGCGCCCTGTGAGCGTTCCCGCTGAAGGAGGCTCTGCGAGGTGCCGCTTTCGGGCTTTTTTAAAGGAGAACGAGCGCGGCGAGGTGTGGCATTTCCCGCGGCGGCGCCAGGAGGAGCCGCGGCTCCCTGCTGGTGTTCGGCGGCGTTCCGCGCGGTCCTCGCTCCGCTCTTCACCACGTACACCGAGAGCACGTGCGCGGTGCCCGGGAGCTGTGCGGTGGCGGCGGCCTAGGATGCTTTCCTGTGGTGGTGGCAACGAGTGACCGAGTGACCGGGACCATCACCGCGGTGCCACGAATCTGGTCCATCAGCAGCGGCAGCCCCAGGGGGTTCTCGTGGCCGCCCGGAGGCGGCAGAACGGGGGAGCGGCCGCAGAACGCAGCCGGCTGGAAGCGGGCGGGGAGCCGTGCCGGGGCCTCTGCTGTCACCCGATGCCGTCTCTGGTGCCCAGAGACCAGGTTTGTAGTGGCATACGTGCCTCGGAGTACTGGAGGGGGACCTGCGAGAACATAGGCAAATGACCGCTTCGCAGGTTCCTGGTTAGCTAGAGTCAGGGCAACCCCAGGGAATCGCCAAAAGAGCTAGCAGGAGGGAAGACCAGAGGAGGATTGTAGAGCCTCCTCCCATGAGTCACAGCCTGAAGCACTGATTGAGCAGCTGGGGAAAAGACCCGGTCAGCCCTGGGAGCACAGGTGAAGGCAGTTCAGCCGTGGGGCCAGAAGGGACGGAGCCTGGCTGCAGCTCTTAGACCTCATTTAAGGGCTGACTGCCACGGGGGAAGGGGCTCTGGTTGGAGGTGCCTCCTTGGTGAAGCTTTCCCCTGTGAACCTGCAATCCTCTGATAAGGTGAGCAATCTTCCTTGCTTCCTTTTTGGTGCCTTTCTATTGTACTGGTCCTTCTGTCATCACTTCTCTGTTGTAATGCATTTCCTATTGCATTGATCTGCCCAGTTGCTACACCTAGTAATTATAGGAGCTAGGTGTATACACACTTCATCAGAACTTTCCTAGAGCTTCTCCTATTGTGGCTCCCTTAGGACCTTTACTGAAGCAGGAACTGTCAGAGAGAAATCCAGGAAAGAGCAGTGTTTCTAGAAAATCATGTTGAAGAAAGGCTACTAGCCTCACACAGGTTAGGGAAAACTGCTGATAATAGTTGTGTGTTCTCTCTCTTCCAGGGGTGGGGCTGCAGGCTAAGGTATCCCTTCATCTATGTGGATGTCACTGGCAACATCTGGCTTAGATTTGTACGTCTTTTGTCTCACTCTGTGGGAAAGAGAAGAAGGAGGAATCCTGTCACTTTTGGCAGGAACTACTGTGGTTGAAGGTGAAAAGACCGAGAAGAAGTAAAGCAGGTGAGGTCTGAAATGAAGCTGCTGGAAGATTTTTCTAGCTGCAGACAAGGTGAATCCTATCCCTGTGAGTGAGGAAAGGTACCTCTAAGCAGTCATCAGTTGTCCAGGTCACCAGCATGTACCAGAAGGGAACAGAACCAGGTCCTAAACTGGCCAAAGGGATATTCCATACCATGTGGCATCATGCTGAGCAATAAAACTGGGGGAGTTGGCCAAGGGGAGAGACTACTGCTTGGGGACCGTCTGGGCATCAGTCAGGAGGTAATGTGTATCACTTGCTTTGTATAGCCTTTTACTGTTGTTTTTATTTTTTCTTCCCTTGCTGTCCTATAAAACTGTTCTAAACTCGCAAGTGCTGCTTTTTTTTTTTTTCTTTCTAATTCTCTCCCCCAGCCCGCTGAAGAGGAAGGGGAAGTGAGTAGGGATACAGACAGTGGTGTCGAGTGCACCCTCAGCAAGTTTGTAAACAGCACCAAGTTGGGTGGTGCAGTTGATACATTGGAGGGAAGGAAAGCCATCCAGAGGGATCTGGACAGCCTGGAGAAGTGGGCCCTTGTGAACCTAACTGGATTCAGTAAGGCCAAGTGCAGGGTGCTGCTGTTGGGCCGGGGCAATCCCAGGTATTTATACACACTGGATGAAAACCCCATGAGAGCAGCCCCTGTGGAGAAGGACTTGGGGTGCTGATGAATGAGAAGCTGGACGTGAGCCAGCAGTGTGTGCTTGAAGCCTGGAAGGATGACTGTTCTGGGCTGCATAAAAAAAGGGGTGGCCAGCAGGGAGAGGGAGGTGATTGTCCCTCTCTACTTAGCTCTTTTGGGCCCCATCTTCAGTACTGCATCCAGGCCTGGGACTCCCAGTGCAAGAAAGAGGCAGAGTTCTTGGAATAAGACCAAAGGAAGACCACTAAGATTCAGAGGGCTGGAGCACCTCTGCTGTGAAGAAAGGGAACTGGGCTTGTTTAGCTTGGAGAAGAGAAGGCTGCGGGGAGACCTCGTTGTGGACTTCCAGTACTTGAAGGGAGTGAATAAACAGGAGGGGGAACGGCTGTTTATGAGGATGATAGGGCAAGGGGGTATGGTCAAACTGAGACAGGAAAGTTTAGGTTAGATTTTAGGAGGATGTTTTTCCCTCAGAGGGTGGTGAGGCACTGGAACAGGTTGCCCAAGGAGGCTGTGGATGCCCCATCCCTGCAGGCATTCAAGACCAGGCTGGATGTGGCTCTGGGCAGCCTGGGCTGCTGGTTGGCGAGCTGCACACAGCAGGGGGATTGAAGCTAGATGAGCATTGTGGTCCTTCTCAACCCAGGCTATTCTATGATGACTCTATATCTGAGTAGGAGTCCCTTTCTTTTCTCATTTGTCCAGGGATTTGGAGAAGTGAGGACATGAAATGAATGGTGTGGTTATTCATCATAAGGTTGGGCACATTTATAGGAGAGTAACGAAAAAATCTTTCTCCAGTGTTGTAACTGAAACGTTTGCAAGTGAAATATATGCTTTGCACTGTTACCACTTTATTTGGACTGTGGGCTTCTGCTTCTTCCAGTCTAAGGAGCACGTGCTCTGCCCATAACAGACAAAACAAACAAACAAAAAAACACAATCACAACCTGCAACTCCTGAAAATAGCACTCTCTCCCATTAAATGTAGTCCTATTCCTTGGCTACTTTATGTTCCGTGAAGCAGTAGTAGGGAATCCACTCTGAAGGCTTACAATTTTACATCACTCTTCTCTCCAGCAGCAGCATCTGCCATGTAACCCTCATGTATAAGAGTTGCTGTGTATTTGATTGTTTAGTTAATTTGTTCTCTAGCTGTGTTTCTGAAGGCCCACACTACTTGTGGGGATAGTTTCAAGTGTTTCACAATAACAACTAATAGGATAAATAGGTAATGTTTCACTGTTTCTCTCTTACTGCATATAGCTTGTAAGATGAGCGTGTCTCCATTATGTTTTATTTAGCTGAAGGGAAGTTGGAAGCTGAGCAGCAGAAAGAACCTGAGAATTCTAATTACTTCTCTTTCATTCAAAAACTAAATTAAATGCTCATTTTCTGTTTTCAGTCCCAGTGGTGTTGCTATTAACAGAGGAAGGCATATCAAATCTGTTTGGATTATGAGCACACAAGGACCAAGTAGTGAAGGCAGCAAAGACTCCCTAATAACTAAGAAAAAAAAAAAAAAAAAAACAAAAACATTTTGGGTAGCAGTATTTGTGAAAAAAGTCCTTTATCTGACCTATTTTTGGATTCTTTCCTGTTGATACATCCTTGTTGTTGACTGAATCAAGTCGGAGAGGTTACAGAGATTCTTTGTGGTATTTCAGAGACCACGTAAAAGGCTGTTTGCAGTGTCTGATACACAGACTCAGATGTGAA